AATGTATGTAAAGAAATCTTGAAAGAAAGGATAATATTAAAACTTTGAATCTATAATAAATGAACTTGGTAATATAATTCATGTAACTGTTTTCCAAAACTCTTTGGTTCTACATTTATGTTAAACCTCTGACACGTCAAAAGTTTTTTGATAAGACAAAGGCTGATTTGTTTACTAAAAGTTACTCAGCTCACAGCTTTAAGAACAGGATTGTACTTTTGTCCCAAGTTCAATTGTATGTTTTATCCATAGTTCAAGGCAGCAGTTCAGATTTATGCAGCTAGGATATGGAACGTTCTTCCTGGGGTTGTGAGACTCTACCCTGACCATGTTCAAAACTAGGCTGTAAACATATCTTTTTAGCTGTGCATACAACTGACTGATTCTATTTTGAAGTACTTTTTTGGCCCTTTTTAAACCCACTTTTTAATGAGTTTTAAACCCCATACTGTTATGATGCTCTATATAAATTTTCAATAATTGTATTTTTATCGACTTTTTCATGCGTTTTGATCTGTGTTTTTAAAATTCTCTTGTGAAGCACTTTTTAAATTGCCTTGTACATGAATTGTGCTATACAAATAAATTATTTATTGATTGATTAATGTTATTTGACTAAGGAACTGATCATATGAAGATGAATATGCCTGATCCTGCTCGACTTGGATCACCTTTGTTGATTTTTGATTGTTATTTTAATTAGTATAATGATCCGAGGCAAACCAGTGTCTTTTGTGTGATTTATTTAACTAATGAAAGACAAACGTGATAATGATAATTGTAAAAAATGGGCAATCAAGCTCTCCACAAAGTACAAAACAGGCTGCGGCTTTACAATGGGGAAGAGGAAAGGGAGGGGTGGAGTTCGGAGAGGGATACGGGGGATAGGAGATTGAACAGACCCTATCACTTCATGGTGACACCAAACCAAATCTGAGACAAAGACCCTCTGAAGTTTACATTTCTCATGTAATATATCACAAAAAAACAGAATAATAGTCATTTTCCACTACAGGATTCTGTTTCTTCCTGTTTCGGGGATTTATTTACACATCTGCCATACTATAATGCACTCTAAGCATTAACTTGCATCATAAACTTTGCATTCACAGCCATAATTTTTGTTAATAAAATAGCGTCATATAATTTATTGTTTTTGCATTTTTATGTTTTGTTTTTTGGAATCTCTTCATTAGTCACATGGTCACGAATTACAAACGCTTGCTGTTCATTTTACACCGGGATTCTAATCATCTGCTGACACCGAGACCATAATTTGGGCATACCCTTCCGGTCAATCTGCTGCTCCTCTTGGATGTCAAATAGCCTGTTGAAATTCCTAATGGCTGCCTTCACAATACTATGTTTATTGCTATCCCAACTGTTGCCAGGCGCCCATAGCCTCCCTCCACTTTGAGTAATTGATGTTTTGTTGGTAACTAATGAGAATTGCAGCGGCCCGAATGCTGAGCCATGTGTTTGGTGATGTTATTCATGTGTTCAATCCTGTAAATGACAGTGAGGCCGTGGGCAGAATCGATACTCTGAGGAAACGCTCTAAACACCGGGAAAACCACCAATTGATTTTATTTTTTTGTTCCCAACAAATTGCGACTCTTTTTGTGGGCGCTGCAGTTTTTGAAGTCTTCATCTAAGACCTTTGCCTTTTGACTCTGCTTCCTTTTTCACCACATCAGTGAAGAGGGAGTCTTGGATCTATAGCCTGCCCGTTCTTGGGATTCCTCTCTCAATGTGGGCCTCCCCAAGGTTTCTCATTTTTTGATCTCTTGGTTTCTTTGTTGTTGTTCTTTGCCGATGCAGCAGGGTCTACGGACAGTGATGATCCAGACATTTTTGGATATTTATTAACATGTATCGACAATGGTCATTCCGATGGACGAATGGCTTCTATGTGTTTGTTATTATTGCATTTGATACAGACAATTTCAACATGGGTTTACTATACATTAAGTTGTTGAATGTTTTAAAGTTTTACATTGCATGAATCCTCTAAACATTGCCCTTGAAGTATCAGTAACAATTTTAAAGTTTTTCTCACCTTAAAAAGTTTCAATTTTGAAACTATGTTAGCTAAAAAAAAAACACGTGGGTCAAAGAGTTCAATGAGTGTGTGTTGACGTCTCACTCGCATTACTTTAGAGCCCAAATTACTGGCCTCTAGTGGATGGACATGTGTCTAATCGTATACAACTGGATTTTGAGAACAAAAAAAACACACTGATTATGGAGGGAGCTTAGAAATTCATGTATCAAATATGATTCAAATGGCGATATAGGGTTAAACAACAGTCAGTTACAGCAACTTCTTGACTGCTCCATCCTTCCCTCAGTCCTCACAAACCACAGTGCTGTCGAGTGCAGTCAAATTATTACTTCCAGCATATACATCATTAAACATAATATTCAATACAGTTTTGGGTTTAGCACTCCCAATGGAAGCGCAACTTTCACCTCCAAAAGACGTATGTATAATGCAATATTTTATCCCCAAAGAAATAACATTTGCATTAGCCAAATATGAGATATCTCGCTGCTCGCTGCTGTAACCCGCAGTCGCTCCTGAAGGAATAGCTCTCCCACTTTTTCAGAACTGCATTGTTTTTAGCTGCTCTCATTTTCACTTATCTCTGTTGTGTTTGGTTCTGCAGCCTCTCGCTCACACATGAGTCTGGGGGTTCACTCGAGCAGCAAATGGCAAAGCAGTTAAGGTCACGCTTGCAAAGTAGAAAATAAGTATAAGCATGTAAGAAACAAGCAATCTACGTTTAACTTTTAGTTTTGGAAGCGGGATTACTCGGCTCATGTACGTCGTAAATTCATAACTTTGACTTTTTTTGTATCTATATGTAGTTTATTTCTATCTTAATTACGTTTATGACATTACCATTGTGACTGCTCAATTCATTTTGCCAACTATGAATGGCAGTTAAAGCTCCGTTTCTCTAAGGTGCTGGTCCGGGACTGGGCCTGAGCTGGTTCTGGTTTACCTTCGTTTACCACCAGATGGTTTGGCATATTTCCGTTGGATTCACACAATTTTGCCTAAGTATCATTACGTCCATATTGTCTCCCCACAGCAATAAAGTCATACAGAGATTTCTTGGCGTCACCAATAGATTCTTCAGTCTTTCAGCCTTTCATTGTTCAAAACCATTTTCATCTTTGCTTCTTTTTCAAAGACTTGAGGTTGCTACCATTCTTTTTTGCCCATTAAAACCCACATACAAATCGAATTAATACGAACAGAGCACCGTAAACAGCCAAAGCTTCTGGGAGCCTGTAATGCACTCAGCTCTTAAATTATAGAGGGGTTTTTTTCATGGTATAAAACGCAGGCATGTACTGTTTAGTTTTGCACTCTCCCTCAGGCTCTGGTTCAATAAGCTGGTTAATAAAACGCTGCTTTAATGAAAAGTTTATTGCGCCTCTATTTCGTGTTGTTTTGGCCTTTAGGTAGAAAACACTGGGTCTGTGTGCGTGTGTATGTATTTGTGTGTGTGTTGGCAAGGTGTAGGTTGACAGCAGGGGATATATCAGCTCATTTAAAATGATTAAAGACTGATTTGATTCTGAAATGTATTGAAAGCGGTGATTTCTGCAGGATCAAACCGTGGGGTTCAGTTGTAATCCCTGAATTTCATCACAAATTTTAGATCTTAGTCAGTATGTTGTTCATATGTTGTGTAATGTCAAAAAAATAAGTAGAGAAATATGATGGGGTTCAGGGTTAAATAAAATAATTAAGAGAGCTATAGTATAACCATTCATTTTTTTCCCACCATCATTTGTAAATAAATTCTTTAACAAATCTCTCATCATTGAGGCATAGCTAGGAAAGCTTGTACACTTGGTGGTTGACTAAATGCTATTTGCCCCAATGTAATATTGGGTTGTTTTTCAATATTCTTAGTCAGACCTGATTTATGCATATTTTGACTGTTTATATATATGATGAAAAAGATAAGATTTCCCATTTGGAGATATTTGGCAATAATGCTTCTGCCGACAATAACACGAAAGACAATTGCTAATTCGTTGTGATTGCGATAAAGCATGCAGCTCTTTTACCTGCAGAATGAATAATGATTGGAATTCTAATTGGACACTTTTTGTAACAAGTTTGCTGTGAATATGTCCCTTAATTTCACTAAAACTGTTCATTTAGGGCAGGGGTGTCCAAACCTTTAGAGGGCCGATTTCACCTGACTTGAACAGGGGCCAACTGGTTTGTCTGGAGTTGGGCTGTTCATATTGATTCACACCACAGATACGTTAGCACCACACATGTGTGACACAATGAAAAGCAAATGTCTGTACAATGTGCATACAACTGAGGGATTTTATATTTTTATCTTTCTTTTTAATGTTCTGTGATAATTTATGATTTTAATGCTTTCTTGTTTTGTTCAGCACTTTGAATTGCCTTGTGTATGAATTGTGCTATATAAATAAACTTGCCTTGCCTTGCCTAAATAGTTGACGATTTAAAAGGTTCTGAGCTTTACAAGGAGGTACAGCATGACTATACGCTGAAGTTGGCTGGATGACACTGTCAAAGGGCCTCAATGTTTGTTTTAGCAAGGCAGAGTGCCACAGAATATGTCACAGTGGGCTGCAGGCCTTAGTTTGGACATCAGATATTGAAAGAAAAAGTATTCTTATTGTAAAAAGGAAAAGCTGGATTGTGCATTCCTACTACTCTATCCATTTGTATCCATAAGGGCAAGTGTTGATTATCAGAAAGTAGAAAAGGCCCATGTGGCTGTAGCTGGTTCTTGTATAACCAGGACTGTGCTGTAAGTATGTTGAGGCTATTGTGATTAATCTCTGCTCTCTGGTCAATACTAACGACCCCCTTGGGCAGTGCATTTTCATTCATTCACTCAATATTCCAATAAAATTGTTGTTGTTTTCCTCTTCTGTCAATATACTGAGGTCCTTGGTCCGAGGTTAACCCTTTTCTGACTCTCTCTCCACAGCCGCGGTGCTCAAGTACGAGAATAACGTCATGAACATCCGACAGTTCAACTGCTCGCCTCATCCATACTGGCTCCCCAACTTCATGGACGTCTTCACCTGGTCCCTGCCTTTCGTCGGAGAAAAGGGTAAAATCAAAGCCCTGTCCGCTTAAAATTGCTGAAACTAAACTAGGGGTATCTAACTTTAAAACCGCAATAAAACTATCACTATAAAATCCATGTAACTACAGTACTTTCTGGATCTTTGAGGGCACCCGTATACAAACCACTCCGGCTAAGTTTGTGCCCACATAAATGCATTTGAATATAAGCTGCAGGTTTTTAGCTGATGAAGCAAAAACAAAAAAAAACGATACAAATTAGTTTTAATGTTGAGGTGTTTAAGATAACTGTTCCTGATGAACAAAGCACTCTGGTAAGTCTCTTTTGGCAAACAACATGCTTTGCCACCCTACTAGTATTTTTGGAGTCAACATAATGTAATTGGTATGACAACATTATTTAAAATGTTGTGTAACTCAAGGGAACAAAAAAGTTAAAAATAATCACAGTTCATTAAAAGGAGTGAAGATACAATCCTTCAGTTGTCTGCACCGCTAAACCTGGATTTGAACATCAGAGCGTCAGAGTGAACGTCAGAGTTACCTATGAACACAGATGAATAACATCTGTTCTATATGTACAGTACATGGTATTTTGTTTTTCTGTCCCAGCTTAAAAGTGCATCTATATAAGCAGTGAGCTCTCTAATTTATTCTACAAAGTTTACTGTTTGATTATTTCTTCAAATGACTTAAAATTGTAACATCAAAAGGCAGATGTACCCTGATTATGTCTGATAGTGTAAAAGTATTTGTGTTGTTCTGTTGTGTGTTGTTTGCAGTGACTGAAATGCTCGTGAACGTTCTGAGCATCTGTTCCAACGATGAGCTCACGACTGACGAGGAGCTGGATGGTAAGAAGCACGCACTTACGTCAGTACTATTCTATTCCAGCAGAGGGCGCCCTTTACCAAAGACTCCACTTACACTTGTGTGCTTGAAAGTTTACACACTCAGGCAGAAATGTCAATGCTTGTGACCATGTTTTTTCACTCATTGTGAGCAGTTGTATGAAGCCATGTGTTATCAATTCAACGTTTTCTACATTCAAATGATAATGACAAAAGAAATTCCTCTTCTGACTCTGAGCAGAAGTCTCCATCCCCCGGTTCTCAATAGCCTGTATTTCCCCATTAACATTTAATGAAGCCCGAAGTCTTTTGTGCTATTTGTGGAGGAGGTTCTTTATCTTCTGATGGTAAAGCTGCATATTCTTCTTGGGGAAAAAAAAAAAACTCCAGTTCCTGTAAATTCCTGTGCCAACTTGCATGAACTACATATTGAAAGTAGCAAACACTTCCATTTGAAAATACCTATGGCTTCACACACCCACTAACGATGAGAGAAAAACGTGTAGCCTTATCTTTCGTAATCTCCACGGTAAATGGTCTAACACGGTGGTTATCTTTGTTGCCTTGTGGACCCCTCGAAGCGGAGTACCCCCTGTTTGTTCAGGGAGCAATATTTCACATATCTTTCACATACCCAGGAGTGTTCATATCATTAGGTTGCGGGCTACAGATTTACATGCCTTTACTGTTATACCAAGGGTTATGGAAAGTAAGTTTATAACTGTCTTTTGCATTGGTTTTTTTAATTCATATTTTATTGTGTTGGAATTTTGATGTGATTGATCATATGATTGCTTTTTTACAGGGACAGTGTAAAAGCAGGGAGTTGTTAAACAAATGACCAAATAGTTTGCTTATTTACCTTCACTTTTTTCCTGATTTTTCCTGAACAAAATGTGCTCATGTTTAATATCAAAACTGGACGAAAAGTATAAAAGGCTTGTTATCTCATTCTCAGACTGTTAAATCAATTAATATTTGTTTTAGAGTCCTGGATTCAAAAATGTATTTAGAATCTAACTAATATTATGGTGTTTTTCCTGAGATCAGCCTTAAAACAAAGTATAAGGAAGCAGTGAGGAGAGGTGCGGTTGTATGGTTTAAAAGCACAATGCAGTGTCTAGAACAGCACAAGGCACAGAATGTGTTTAAATCATACAACCGCAAGGCTCCTCGTCGTTAAATCTTCTTATACCATGGTCAAAACACTCATAACATAACAGAAAATATATCTATTTTGTCCTCTGCACTCTCAAAAATCAGGTTGAGGAGAGGGACTACTTAATTTGTCAAAAGCCAGCAAATTCTCCTTAGCAACCGTTGTCATGAAAAAAATGAAGACACACACGCTCGATCGATAACAATCAATGTATAGCATATTTAGCTTATTTAAGACCTTAGTCAATATAATGTCATAGTCCAAAGTACAGGTTAACAGTTTGTACTCATTGTTGTGGTGATGTCACCATACATCACCAGACATCACCATAACTCATTGTTATGGTGATGTCTGACGTGGAATGACTTATGTAATTTAACATGGGGTTTAAACAGTATTAATGCAATGGACTCACTAGTATGAATTGCTACAGTAGCCATTATTAACCTTATTATCAATGTTTGCACGTTTTGAAAATTGGAAAAACAAATTGGTAATACCCTTGCGTACCTCATGGGGTCCTTGTGCCCCCAGTTGGGAAACACAGGCCTAGCACATGTAATTCCTGCCTGGGTGTGTAAACTGTGCTCACGTTTTTTATATATATATGGTTCACCTCACAGACACAATATATTTAAATTATTCCAAGTGACGCACATTTGATCACAGTATTTCTTAGCCCCGTGCAAGTACTTTGTTACGCTTCGAGCAGCTTCCTCAGACGACCTCGCCCTCCGATACTAAACAGGAAGTGACCTCATCCTCTCTTTTCCTTTGTGTACACGATGATGCACACGTTGTAAACAGCGCAGATGGGCGGGAACTTTATAAACAAACTGTAAACGATGACAATCCCCGGAAAACCGACAGCCACGGTCACATTAGTTCATCATCGCACTGCAGCCAGCGACCTTTTCATTCTGCAGCCTCTTCTACAGTGGTGGAACAGGAAATAGGATAGAAAGTTAGATCTTTACAAGTAAGGAAAAGATAACGTGTTTTCTATGAGATGAAGAAACATAATGTGGTTGAGGAAAAAACACGTTGAAAGTAACCACATTGGCGTCCTCTACTGCTATCACCACTATCCAATAATGGCACCTTCAAAATCTCGAATCTCATTAGTAAATAAAGCGTTTATTGTAATTTTAACCATAATCTCAACCCTATACCTACTAGAGTTTAGTTCGGACCTGAAAAATCAAGCCCGACCCGGCCCGAGCCCGCTAATACTAAGCCCGAACCCGTATAAGCCCGACCAATTAAGGTTGTATAATAGGCCCGAGCCCGACAGAAGCCCGACACATCTGATTTCCCTTGTTGTGCGCACTCACCTTCCAATTGCAAGTTCAGCCACTTCTGAATGTGTTTTGTACGTCCACCTGATCCATTTCTGTTAATGTTCCGTGTGTTCGCTGTTGACCGTAGCATTCAACAGGAAAAACAGGGATGATGCGTTCATGGCTTGCTGCGGCTGTAGGACACGCCGGTTACGGTGTTATAAATATATCAACTTTTTTAATAACTTATTATATTATTATTAATAAATACAAATATGCATATCATTATGTATGAAAATCATAAATAAATAAAAAATATTGATTAAAAAAAATGAAAAAATTACAAATAAAAAGGAGCCCGAGCCCGGAACAGCCCGACTGCTGAGCGCTGAAGTGAGGCAGAGTTCGGGCCTTCTTGGGCTCGGGCTGAAAAGCGAAACTCTAATACCTACTGTATATAAATGGACAATGCTGACCCCTATAGCTCCATGACGCCCAATAGGGAAGTGCTCATGGAAGGTTTTGCTCCAATTCTCTCTGGTTTCTATTGACTCCCATTGAAAGAAACTCCTCTAGCTCAGTAACCGTTTGTGGCACACTCACACTGGGCCTATAAAATCCATGGGTTAGCGCTCCCTGTGATATATTTCTATATTTTTGACTGCCTTAACAACTGACTAATCAGGATCCTTCTGTTCAGATATGAGCCCAAAGGATTAGCCAATCAAATGCCTTATTTTGAGGGGGGAAAATAAACATATAAGGAAAGTGGCTCCAGCTTGCTTATGGTCAAAATCACCTTCTTTCGCGTTCACTATGGTGACATCAGCGGCCGCTCAGTCCACCCCTAATATACAGTTTATGCCGTCTACTTGCAAATACAATAATGTACAACTCAAAAAGCTGCTTTACACCACTGTATTTTATTATTTTCAGCATTTTTTTCTCCCCATTTCATTTCAAAAGCGCACGCCACACTCTGGTTCTTTCGCTCACGCCTCGTCCGCTGCACCTTTCATGCACTCTTGTTTCTGCTTCATCTAACGTTCTCTCTTTTTTTTCTATGTTTTCCAGACTTTTAAGTTGAAGCATTTGTGTTTTAATGTTTCATTTTCCCCTTTCACTGGTGTGGCGCTTCTCTGTTGCCTCCTCTGTCATTCTGCAGCCATCACTGATCTCTCTTCTGTCCTCTCTTTTCCTCTGGGGGTTTTCTCATGAGAAGGACAGCTAATTTATACCCCCAAAAAAGGTACAACTCCTGATGTATTAGGGGCATGTTCAAAAAAAGGAATAATCATTGTCTGTCTACTACTATATAACTAATACAATTTATCAAAGTTAACATTTGCATTGGCTTTCACTTTGGAGCTACACTGAGCTACTCTTTACAAATGTTTCTGAAAAGGAGCAAACATTTTGGGTGGTTTGAGCATGAGAAATTGGTTAGATATCATTTTCTGTTTATTTTAATGCTACATCAATATATTTATATAAGCACAATTTCATGAGCTGTCTTTCATAGTGTTGCATTAGATTGTAAACGTGGAGGAAAAATCCACTTAAAAGATCTCCAATGCAGTAAAGTGAATGCCATTAACGATAACATATATGGTTAAAGCTGGAGTACCTAACTTTCAATCTACAATGCATGTAACTATGTAATAAAATCCATTTAACTAGTTTGGTTTGGCCTGTAAAAACAAATATAGGCCATTGACTCACTCAGAAAATCTGCTCCCAGCCCAAAGCGTCAAAGAGTGACTTTGACAGGACTTTATACAACCAACATGTATTATTTATTAAAAGAGATAGGCATCCCAGCTTTAATGAAACACTAAAATGCTTATTTGCTTTCAGGAAATGTGTCAAATATATAATCCTTCTTGCATTTTTGTTTCCTTGAAAATGGTTGGGAATTTGGCTTAAATCATATCAAATTGTGAGTGAAAAATAAGTGAGGAAATGTATTCTGAAAAAATAAGATGTTTTAATACATATTAAAAATAGGACATTGAGATCGTCATCATATGAATACAGAATGTGATACTATTCCATGCTTAAAAAGTAGTTTTCTTGTTTCTCTAACTTCTGACATTACCTCAATCTCATTCCAATTTCTCAATCCATTTCTCATACTACTCATTTTCCATATTACTCTTTCCTTGTGCCATAAACATAAACTCAGCTTTTCACTCCGCTCCAGAAATAACCCTAAGCAGCTCTTAACACAGGAAGAGTCGTTATGGGACAGTATGGGAGGCCCCTAACGGACACTAACCCAGCACGAACGCAAGGAATGCTGGGACTAATTTCAACTGCGTTTACAAAGCAATAGTGAAAACCAGATTCTTCACCAGACCTGGCATGAAAACTTGTGAAAAATCAGTCCTTTTGGAATAAGTTGATCAAACAGTTCCTACTGCGTATTCGCTGACGTATAACTATAAGCTGGATACTACTGAGACAAGGCCAGCGGATGCATTTAAGAGCGCAGGGAAAAGCCATGCATACATTAGAATTGAGGTATTTGGACGCATATAGGTGACCTACTCATCTTGATCATTGTGAGGAAGTACACAATCCCTCTGCATGTATTTCATTGTTTTGGTTTGGTTTGGCGAAACAAAAGCAGGAAACATGGTGCGTTTAATCGTGCTGTGGAAATTGGATGCTTGAATTAAACATTTGCCAAAAGTGAACTTGCTTACATGATAGATAGCAATTTTATTCACAATTACTGTTCCAAAGTTTCAGAGCTAAGGCAATGTTACGAGATGCCTTTGACGCCTGCTGTGACCTCACCACTTCAGTAGCCGAGAACAAACGTGAACAACAATGGCGGCGGGTCAATTAATACCACTCGTGCTTTGAGCCGGTCCAAACAACATTCAGTTTCCACTTTTGCTGCTTCTGTTAAATGCAGAATATTCTTGGTGCATTATTTCACGTCGTTGTTTACTGCTTGATGAAGATGTTGTTGAGGAAGTGATTATACTGGTGGGGGTTGCGCGTGTAATGCTGTAAAGGTCCACTGCCCCCTGCTGGCCGGATACTACAACGACATTGTTTTCTGTTGTCGTGTAGTCGCTGTGCAAATCAGGAGCGAGGGCGTTTTTGCTAATTGCAAAAGTCGCCGTCTAAACGGGGCCTGAAAGTGTCGCTCGGCTTGAGCTTCTCTGCTGGGAGCACTGAGACTAGAGCAAAACGTATCAAACCGCTTTAAAAATCAACCTAAATAGTATTTTTTAGCCCTTATTCCTATGCTTTGTAAACGCAGTCAATAATGTGTGAACCAATTCACACTTTGATTCAATGTACTTGGATACTATCATTTGTATGTTTATGCTGATGTTAAAAAATGAAAAAAGACAACAATGTAATCCTCCCAACAAAAATATATAAATTTTTCATTCGCTACTTGCGCAATAGCATGATTTGCGGTCCGGCGGGGTCATATTCCATCCGCTAAGGCACACTATCTAAAACTGTTACATAAAAGGCTAATATTAGCTTCTCAAAACCTTCAGAGACTTTTTAAGTTCCTCAAAACCAAAGATTATAAAGATCTCTACCTTGTTTGTTGATTTTGAAAAGTCAAACTGGAAAAATCATCTTCCTTGCATCCTGTAAATGAGGCTGTTTTACATATGGCCAGCAGATGGCGAGCATTACTGTTGTTTTAGTGCATCAACAAGAACTGCTGGTTTCCCATGGGCAGTGTTTCCGTGATCCTTGAGGTTTAAAACTCACCGCAGGTTTCCTTCTCATCGGGACTCACACACTGTTACACTGACTTCATTACAAACAGCTTCTATTGGAATGACCTCCCCCTCAAGCCGAAAAGCATTATGGGAGTTGCGCACTTAGCGAATGCACAATATTCTTACAGGTAGATTTTCAATAGTGTCGAAGCCTTAAAATGATCAAAAACCCATTTAAAACAATGCAGTAGATCTAAAAGTACACTCATGCATGCCTCACATAATTTATTATTCACTATATTAAGTTTAGTTAACTGAAGTTGGACTGTCACAGTAGAGCAACAAAAACATGAGCCTCACACTTCCGGTTTCTCAGACATGAAAAATCTAAGGTTTCAAACATTTGTACACTTGGGTAAAACAATATTTTTATCCATCACTAAAATCAGACAGTATCTTAAAAAAATGAAATAGTTTCCACATCGATCAGTGACCCAGTCATTGTGTCTTGAACACATTGCAGTGCAGTGGAAGAACTTGAGGATTTCCTGATGGAGTTTATAAATCCTCCGCAGAGATAAGGCCAACACTTCCCGCTTGCAGGCCTTATTTATCAGTCTCTGTCAACTTGACCCCTGACCCCTACAGGTGCCACGGCTTCAGCCCGAAAGGAGGTCATCCGCAACAAGATTCGCGCCATCGGGAAGATGGCCAGGGTCTTCTCTGTGCTCCGGTATGTACACACACACACACACACAGACACACAGACACACAGCCAAGCATACACGTCATACACAGGCATACATGTACACACACCATACTGTACATAGGCGCATAGACACACATATACACACGCATGCCTACATGCACACACACACACACACACACACACACACACACACACACACAACCACAGGAAGTCTGGACACAAAGTAATCCACTGCCCAGGTGGGACATGCCCGGAACACCTGCCCACAGAGCAGATTTCTAGATTGTTTTTGTTGCACTTTTACTAGCGCATACAGCTGCTCTATTTTTACTATGTATTCATGTGACATCACAACACATTCAAAGAGTTTAACGTGGTGGAGGGCAGCTGCAAAAATGTTCCTGGTAACTATGGTAAGTGTCAAAAGTCAGTTTTTTGTAACTCCTGGGTCAATCCACATGAAACAAAAACGGTCACAAAGTTTCACATCTTTAGTGAAAATATAAAATATGGTCAAACTATTTTCTCATGAAGGTGTCAAGAAGTAGTGATAATATTCAAAACCATATTATCTTGATCTTGATGATTTTGGTCTGTAAAAAGGAGTCAATATCAAAAACGTTATCGGGGGAAAAACATTTGGACATTTTCTTTTTTTAAATTGTTGTGTTGTGTGTTCCTCATTCCTACTGTTGTGTTACATGTGATGCTACTACAGTGAGTGGGAAGTGTGTGGTCAGAGAGAGTTTGGGCCTGTGTCTTTTCTTATGTTGTGCTTGTGTTTGTGTGTGTGTGTGTGTGTGTGTGTGTGTGTGTGTGTGTGTGTGTGTGTGTGTGTTGGGTTTTAAATAACATCTTTCTACTACTAAATTCCCTACTGATTAAAGGATGTCTTTAAAAATGTATTTTCAACTCGCCGGTTGTTTTGTTGCAGAGAGGAGAGTGAGAGCGTGCTGACACTGAAGGGCCTGACCCCCACGGGGATGTTACCAAGCGGAGTGCTGTCCGGTGGAAAGGAGAAGTTGGAAAATGGTAAGATCGTCGCCGTAACACAAACCGGCGGGTTTCAGATCCAGACACACCTTCTCCACTCATGAGACAGACGACCTCCCGTTGCCATAGACACCTCAGTTTACACCCTGCACTACTCACATACTACATGTATTAACCACAGTCCAATATGCTTCACTCCGATATGCCATTCCTGTAGTTCTTATCTCAAATGTTGTATGTTTTTCTTTCTCCTCTCTCCCAGAAACTGCAGGTATAATCCAGTTGTGCAAGTATTTCGATGTTGTGTTTTTGTTTTCCAATAGAGAGCTAAGTCTACTCTCCCATGTTGAATTTCACACTTGCCAACTGATATTTGACGTGATATTGCCAAGAATTGGAAGTTTCCATATTTATATTTCTCAAATTGCAGACGAAAAAAGCAAATATCCAGATGTGTGATTCTCAACTGAGGCCATTTATAGAATAAGAGGTTTCCTTCATTATTTTGTGGTTTTATTATTCTATCTCAACCCCATCGTAGATTAGTAAGTCTTTCATAACATGCAAACTTTTGTCTTAAGACCTTTCCAGACTACTCGATTCAAAGATCATGAACCTATTCCAGTCGGGCTGTAATTCATGGTTAATAGTTTAGATTAGTTGATGATTAATCTATTAATTTAGATACCCAAAATGTCAATGACTTTATTTGGTATGGATCCCCATTAAGTCGCGACCAAAATGACAAAGTTACAATCAGCTTTACGAAAAAATGTAAACAAAAAAATATGTTAAAGTCAACACAGGTAAATCAACTGACAAAAAATATGCGGAAGATAGAAATGATAACAATCATCCATCAATCCATTCTTCCGTTTTATTCATTGTCGAGTCCTGGGGGCAGCAGTCTGAGAGACACCCAGATTCCCTCTCCATGCACAGTCCCTCCAGATCATCCGGGGGAATCCTGAGGCGTTCCCAGGCCCCGGCTGAGAGACACAGCTGGAGGGACCAGCGTGTCCTGACAATCTGGGTGTCTCTCAGACTGCTGCCCCCAGGACTCGACAATGGATAAACGGAAGAATGGATTGATGGATAATTGTTATCATTTCTATCTTCCTCATATTTTTTGTTACAGCTCTGACAGCAGACGCTGCTCCCTATTCAACCAAACAGTCTGATAGAGCTCTGACTGCAGACACTGCTCCCTCTTCACTCAAACATTCCTTCACTTGTGAACAAGTCCCTTGACCTCCTCCACTTGAGGAATGACCTCTCCACCCAATTATGAAAATATACATTCAGATCAGATTCAGATTCATTTATTTGCCATTTGCAGTAAAACCACATTGGAAAAACTGTGCAAGACTTGCCACGGCGAAATATTTACGGCGCAAATGCAAATATATTCAAGATTCAATCTTAGTCAGTTCTTTTAAACAGATTGTTTGATACATTTTACAAAAATCTCATCGTTTTAGAATGATCTGAGTCTTAAAACCTCTTCCACATCTACGTAAGGTTAAAAAAAACATGAAAAAACTTGTTACAGCCCTAAAGTGTTCTTTCCAGTAATTATATATTTTTCTGTTTATTTTTCATCTCCTTTCTTTCTCTCATTAACCATTATTGACACACGACTATTGAATAACTACTTTCCTCTCCACTGATTACGTCACCCACTCTCCTGCTTTTTTGTCTGTCTTTCCGTGTGGTCTCCGTCTGCCATGTTGCCTCTCCTCTTCCTCACTCACAGCTGCAGACAGACTCATTCCCACCACCTCTACCTCTCTCGGTGTCTCTTGTCCAATAACACAAAAATGTAGATTTTTTATTTATTTTTGTGGCCATTGGTGTCTTTTGCTGCTCATTTGGGACTAAATGAAACACGTGCTCACCTTCTCTCATTCGTTTTGCAACCCCCCTCTTCTTCTCCTTCAGCTACTATTGAAGCTATTGAGGCTGAAAAAGGTAAATGGGTCTGGCCACCCTCTTCTGTTGCTTCCCATAGCAATAGATAGGGGGCGCTCCACTGGGTTCTTTCCATCCATCTCGCTGGTGCTTGAGTAGAATGTGTTGGGTGTTTGGGGGCGAGAGAAAACGTGGCTTATCTTTTTAAGCGGAGCATCAGTAAGTACGTCCAGGGGGAACCTTAGCTCACACCGGTTTTAAAGGGGAAGGATTTCATAGCGCGCATTTCTATAGTCCCAGCCGTCGCGTTGTGTTGTGTTTTGAGTGAGGGCTCGCACAAGGCACTACTCCATACTCCACTACTCCTGCTACAAAAGATAAAATTCAGAATCAGAATAAAATTATTATTTTTTGGTGTCAGGTAATGTTTTTATTTGGTGAACTGCGCCCTCTGATGGCAGCATAGGGAGTTACAGGCTGTGAGGATTTTTTTACCCTTCATACTTGTTTCACCATATATATTACTTGAGATATTATTTCAAATTCTAAAACATGAAAATACAAATTGAATAGTCTCATGATCATTTTAAATAATACACAAATATTACTTTTAAGTTCCTATTAAAAAATGTCCCCACACGCGAGTCCAGTCTTTGTATGAGTTGACCCTCTACTGACTCCAAGTCAAGAATGAGGCAGAAAATGTGTGTTATGCATGTTTCCAAAGATTGTAAACAGTTGTTAGAGATGTGTTTCCTACAAATTTGACTTTTCCTACGGTCTGAACCAGGACTCAGCCAGGACTGATCCAAGACTGACCCAGGAAGGGCTTTTAACATGGCTGAAATCTGAAATAGGGAAATCAAAATAGTTTACTCTACTAATTTCAATCAATTGGGGGTTATTGGCCCACCTTTGTAATATTACACTGACATTATTAGATACTTCAGATAATTAAATGTGAGATGTTGCTATCATACTCTTTACAATTCCCAATTTTGACCTTTGCATGCAGTGTGAAAGTTGTTTTATTATGGATAGCCCTCAAACTATTTAGTAAAATGTAGTGGTGAATGTGCCTCCTGCTCCGCTCTCACTCAGCACAGCCATCTTTGAAGCTATGAAACCAGAAGTCGTGTTTCCCCTTTGAAATGACCGAAGCAGTTGTGCATTGTTGTTGCAGTATATTTAAGCTTCACTTTACTGTCGACACATAATTGGTAACCAAGTCAAATTCATTACGTTTCCTTTTAAAAGAAAATGTATGTCCATTGCTGGTAGCGCAAAAGCAAGCTCAACTGCGAGCTAAATAGTGGTGTGGAAGCTGCTATTTACGTGACGTGTCCAGTACTTCCTCTCCAGCCCCATCGAGGGCTCTGCTTCTCCATGTGGACCTGCTGTGTCGTGTTCCTGTGAGCTGCTAATAACCTGTGTCTGACCGTGCAATGCAGCAACACACCCAATTGACCCTGAAATCTGAACTCCAGAACGCTGTAATGTGGGCCCAGACCCTGGAGTCCAGTCCCATACGGAGACTGGCCCTTGCTGCATGCTCTCGCAGACATCACAGTGTTAGCACAGTGTAGTGTGTGTCCGTGGGCTCAGTCCAGTCCTCTGTGGAAGTGAATGTCTTGGTGGGCTTCTCTGGTGTCCCCTCTGTCTTAGTGTCTCTGATTATTCATCCTCTTCCTCTTTTGGCTCAGTAGTCTGCGCGCTCTGCCCTGGGGTCTGCAGGATTGTGCCTTTCACGTCAAGTCCCTGTGACAGTTTTCCAACAGTCCAGATTCATATGTTTAAGAACGTGGCAAAGATTCTCCAAATGTATTATATAGTTTGGAAATGTTTTTATCATAATAATTTGACTTCCTAGTTGTACATTATGACTTCACCAGAGGGATGTTACCTATCAAACTGGGACAAATCTCCAGTATACAGAGACAATAGTTTTTGACCAACGGCAAGCGAAAGCTTCTGCCACACGTGAATTTCCCTCTTGTGATGTCATCTGTTGTAGAACTCTGCTCTACTTCCTGTAAATGATTTTTCCCTCAAAATATGATGTTGAAGACTGACACTTTACAAACCTGCAAACCCTAAGGCCTGCGCTCCGTAGACTGTAGAGGGGTCCTCCCCTGTGTAGTGGGATCATAGTCTCTGTGTCGTAGTCATAGTCTCAGTATGAATAGTTTCATGTTTACAGTGTTGATGTGATTATCCATTCTGATGTTGCTTTGTCGAAACAACTGAGTCTGGATTCAATCCCATTCTATAAGTTTGTTTAAGAAGAATACATTACCCTGTTTGTGTAGTGAGAAAGTAAGTATTTTGGCAAACTAGATTTAGTACGTAAGTATACAATCTCAAATATTTTTTACACGGTAAGAGAAAGGTTGTGAAACATCAGGTCTGTGTGCATATGTTAATAATGATCATAAATGATTATTCTGAGCTAAATCCAGTTGCACTGCTGCTCGACAGCTCCCAGTTCCCCTCATAGTCACTCACACGCCTGAGTCTGGCCGCTCTTCTCAACACTCCTCTGTTCTCTGTGTCTCACGCCCACAGCCATCAAGGGCTTCTCTCCACAACACAAGATCTCCAGCTTTGAGGAGGCCAAAGGTCTGGATCGGATCAACGAGCGGATGCCCCCTCGCCGGGACGCCCTGCCTTCAGATGCCAGCCTCAACTCCCTGAACAAGGCCCTGTCGTCAGAGACCAACGGCACGGAGCCCAAAGGCAGCACGAGCAGCAGCAGCATCCAGTGAGGAGGCTCCACGGGGGGTCCAGGGTCTCGGATCTGCCTTCAATCTTAGTTTAGTGGATCAGATTTCACCAGTGTACGGGATGTGGTGAGGCCTCAGTCCCGCCGAGATAGAGAGAACGCGTTAGCACTCATCCTTACATTTCTTCAAAGACCCAATTACAACAAAAGGAAAGTTGTTCTTACTAACTATTGTACGTTTACAAAATACAGCACTAAGAGGAGACATGAGATCTTGTTTTTAACATAAGGGTGTACAAACTAAATAAGGACTATTTATTGATAACTTTTTTTGCTACTCTTATAAAATAGCTCTGAAATGATTTAGGCAGTCTTAAAAAGAATGTTGCAATGTTGTCGAAATGCCAAATGATGGATCATTTTATGGTTTTGTACATATTATTGCTTACCTCAGGTTCTTTTGGTGTGTGCTTTGACCTGATTTCTCTGTATAATGGCTAACTTGGTAATGAATACCTATTTTCTTGAGTTTCTTAACTGGAATTTACATTTACCTATCTATCATTTGCAAAATATGTTAATTTTTTTTCTCTTTTAAAAAGGGAGGGGGGTAGATTTATCGTGGCTTGCTGGAACTGAGTGTTAATTTCTCTTTTTAAGTATTGCGAACAAAGTAAAAATAGAGAAACTATATTGTGTAAAAAAAAGAATACAATAATAATAACGTGTCTGCCTATGCATGTTTTATAAAAATCAAACCGAGATAGAAGTGAGTTTGGCTGCGAAAGCTTTAGTGAACTTATACTGGAACTGTATCCTGCATACTTTAAACAATGACCACCATGACGCTCTATGCCTTCTTTTTGTAATTGAAGCATTTAATTATCTAAAGATGGACGGGAATTGTATTTTTAACAAGCTTGTCAGTGCACAGTCCAAATACGCATGTTTGACAGTTCTTGTGAGGTTGTGTGATAAACATGTGGAACTCAAAATGCATGAATTAGCTGTTAGCCGTGTCCATATAACAGGTTTGGAAAATACAACCAACATTTTTGTTCTGTTTTGTAAATTGTGCCACAGAAATGTCCTTTTATTATTTGGAATTCTGCTTTGTATATCGATTATAGGTTTGATACTGCTCCGTACTTTAAACCAGAAAAAAAAATACTTCGATCTTTTTTAAGAACTGCTTAAGTGCCCAAGTAATTCACTACACGACATGAAGCCTTGCTTTTTGTAATTTAACTTCGGAAACTGTTGGCAGATGAGGCATGCACTTGCAACTATAAAAAGTATTTTATATAACTGTTCAATAAACATGTGCATGAACTTGAGATGCACTTCTCCTGTTGTGTGTGTGCGCCACAGACATCCTGAACAGGCAGCGAGTACGATCACAGCTTTTGCTTATAACTCCAGAGAGACCGACATGAGGCTGGATTTACTACTACTTCACTGATAGTTTAAGGGTCTGTTAGTAAGAATTACATTTTAGATTAAATGTTAAAAGTTGAGCATTTCTTCTTTATGTTTAAGGCTTTAAAGGTGGTTCTTATACAGGGGTGTCAAACTGGTTCTACAAAAGGTTGTGAGGCTTCAGGTTTTCAGTCCAGAGCACACCAGACTCAACCTGAAGACTGGAGGAAATGGGAGGAGTCTGCTGTGCTCCTGCTTGGCTGGAACTAAAACCTGCAGACACACACACCGCTGTAAGACAAATGTGTAAAGAAGATGGTGCTACTTAATAATCTGACATGTCTCGGGGGTAACTTCTCCAGAGACCACAGCGCGGTGAGGGCGTGGTCAGTCTGAAGGATCCGTCTCATTTGTCAGACTGACCTCCTCTGGTAACGGCTGATAAGTGACGTCCCACCATCATGAGTCTCCTTTGACCAAGGCAGAAGTCTGATGATGCAGTATCAGCCTCTTCACACTTGTGCTTATTAAAAGAACCTTAGATTAGAAGTCGTAGATAATACTTTTCATAAACATGGGTTCTCCTTGTCCTTGTATCTAGGAATGAGAAAGCTTCACGGTGGAGACAAATGTTGGTCATTTATGTCACCGTCATACATTCTGTAACGTGCACATTTTGGAACTATAAATGAACTTGTAGAGCACAGACCTCCGCCAAGAGGCACAGTGCCACTCCTTCAAAGCTGGTTCTGTCTTTCTGTCTTCCTGATGCTCGAGGGCTTTAAGGTAAGTTGAGCTGAGCTGAAGGCTGCAGCAACATTCAGATGCCACTTAGACGTTATAGTGGTTTTGTTTGTTTATTTTATGAACAGGCGCCATCGTGTGGACAGCAGATGCAAGTACGTTCATTACAATTACACTTTTCTATAATGATTCAAAATTTCAAATCCGGACGGGGAATCAGAACCAAGATGTAATCCCTGGTTCACTGGGCTGTTGCTTTCAGTCTGTTTCTAACTTAAATTTTTGAGTAAGAGATAAACAGACAAACACCATTGAACTTTTTAACTCCTGGAATTTGGTAAATATTAGTTTAAGAAGCTCTAGTACACCTTTGGTAATTTATTTGGCTCAGATCTTGCAGCACAGTCTCATTGTAGCTTGGAAATGAGACGTTTGGCAGGTTCACAGCGGCAGGCGTTTCCTCTTCATCGACCTCTTTGATTCAAGGGATAAAGAAACAGTTTAATAACAATATGTGAACTAGACTATGGAACAAAAGTCTGAGATACAATGTTGGCTTTACAAAGATTACAACAGAAGCTATCCAAACATCAGGCTACTACTTTTTGAAGTATTTAGTGTCAACATTTTCAAGTGGGGAGATTTGAGATTTATTGGACTATTTTTTTTTTTTTTTTTTTTTTTTTTTTTGTACATAGAATCTTGTAAAAGTGCAATGTTGGGAGCAAATTACAACCACAACATTCTGGCTTCATCCTACTTGAACACTTCTTCATTCGTTTTACCCTTTAATGCAGGGGTGTCAAACTTATTTTGGTTGAGGGCCGAATACAAAATGAAAGGGCTGGTCAGGGGCCGAAAAAATAAGTGGGTTTCACTTATTATACTTTTTTATAATATGAAGGTATCTTTATAAATGACTTGTTTCACATTAGTAAGATTGGATATTCTTTTCTGATTAGAATTGGTTCAGTTTCTGTGGACTGGACCAAAACTGAACCAAAACTGGACCTAATATTGAAGGTATAAAGGAAGATTTTCTACTTCTGTGCGGATCATCAAGACGATTGGTCCTCACAACTGTCGATCATTCTGGTGATTCATGCTCATCTAATAAGACCACAGAGATTTGTTCAAAAAGTGGAGAGGGTGGTTCTTTCCTAAGAACATTTGGAAATCCTCTTCATATCTTTAAGAAGAAATGTAATTGAAGACTCGTAAAAAACATAATATTAAAGACTAACATGTTGGCTAAACATTTCTTATGGAATTACATGTTATAGTTGTTTTCTTGAGAAAATTAGTAATGGATAACCTTTAATAAAATAATTTAAAATCATCTCAGGGGCCACTGGAAATGGTCTCGCGGGCCGGATCTGGCCCCCGGGCCTTGACTTTAACACCTATGCTTTAATGGGTTCCTCAACCATTTGGTGGATCATTTTTTGGCTTGCTCTATCTACTTGGAACTAAAATATACTTTTTTGGGACATCTCACTTTTACCATCGAACTGCATCCCAACCATTTTGTAAAGGACTATGAAAAGAGGGTTTTCAGTGCTCCCTAACCCTAAATGACATTGCTTTCAACAAGGACTGAATGTTAAAGGGTTAAGAACTAGCCGTGTGAGTTATTATTTCATGCTTTGGGCTGAGAGCTGATTGACCCTTTTTCACTTTTCTGTCTGAAAAATCTAATCTAAAGATGTGACAGAGGCTATAAAAACATGCATGTGAACACTAGTGATCAAAGCAAACTGTTTTGAGAGCGGGGATTTTTTCTTGTTTTACATAGTTCAACATTTTTCACGCTTTGAATGTACCCTAGCTTTAAACGCATCCCTCATAAATAGCTTGAACCTGCTGTCTATTTTGCACCAGTCCATTTTTTTTCACACAGTCTAAGGAAGTAAACGATGGCATCCTGTTTTTGGAGGTCCACCGGTCGCAGCAGCCTCAGGAAAACAATACATTTTGGTTGACTCTGGACCAGAAAAAGATGAGGGCAAACCTTGCACTGTTGATTTTTAGACTCATCGTCACTTTTAGGGTGGTTCTCTCACTATTCCTTCTAACGGCATAAACAGTGACATTCCGTGGCTGGTATTTTCCCTGCCCTGTTGGGTCGATGCCAGTGTGCTGCAGCGAAGTGGCGATTATACAACAATCACATTCATTTTTGTTTTCAAGTCTGCATGTGACTGGAACAAATCAGAAATGTATTTTGTGAGTGGGACATTTGATCAACATGTTTCCTGTTTTCATGCATTACAAGTACTTTCCTATGAATAGTTTTATTTAGAATATGTCTGACATTATGTGGGGAGGCTACACTGACGTTAGGTGTGGTCCACTCTGTCTCTAGTGTCGTCTTCCTTCTCCATCTGCTGCAAATCCATTCAAAGCATATCCCCTATGCATACATACAGGGGAAACTTAGAAATGTAGATTATTGTTCAAAAGTAATTTTTTTCCTCTGTAATTCAACTTAAAAAGTGAAAAAAGATATGACATAGATAGACAGGTAAATACTTTATTGTTCCCCTGTAAGAGAAATTCAGGTGGCCAGTAGCAGCAGGAACACATCCATCCATAAAAAAACCCCAAAATAAATACGTAATCATAAAAGTTACTAACAATAAATGCAACAGCACTTAAGGCCACATCAGTATAGACTCATTACATGCAAAGTGATATGTAGTACAGACCAAAAGTTTGGACACACTTTCTCGTTCAATGAGTTTCCTTTCTTTTCATGACTATTGACTGTAGATTCACACCCAGGCTGTGTAAGGGCTGTTTGACCAATAAGGAGAGTGATGGGTGCCTGGCCTCCACAGTCACCGGACCTGAACCCAATCCAGATGGTTTTGGGGTGAGCTGGACCACAAGTGCTAAGCATCTCTGGGAACTCCTCAAGACTGTTGGAAGACCATTTCAGGTCACTACCTCTTGAAGCTCATCAAGAGAATGCTAAGAATGTGCGTAGCAGTGATCAGAGCAAAAGGTGTATACTTTGATATTTCATATTTTAGTAAGTACAAAACATAGTTTTGATGCCTTTAGTGTGAATCTACAATTTTCATAATTATGAAAATTAAAATCACTTTAAATGAGAAGGTGTGTCCAAACTTTTGGTCTGTGCTGTACATGTACGCCAAGCCCTAAAATAATAATTTTATGATTATGGCCCACAGTATGTTCTCAAAATAAAAATAAAAAATGAGATGTCAATAATATAACAAATACAGGCTCAATTTATCTCACTTTTGACTTTTATGAGTGTGTCAGGTTACCTACAATATTTTTTTATTGAAAATACAGAGGCCGACCCAATGCTTGTACCATAGATGATTGGGTTTGCACCAATATGGATCAATTAAAGCTGAGTTCCCTCGCTTTAAAACCTCAAAATAATTAACAATGTAATAAAAGCCATCTCACTAGTGTAGTCTAGTTTTCACATGCATGTGTTTTGGTCTCTGTTACGTCTTTAGATCAGCTTTTTCAGTCTGAAAAGTGAAATTCAACTCCAAAATATGAGTTGAAAGTATGAAAATAATTCTAGTGATGTAAAGACTGCATGTTGTAGTCTGATTTGTCCACAATGTTTACTTTTTTTCTGTTGGAGAAACATTAAGATTCAAAAAGGTTAATTTTGTCTGGAGTTAAAATGCTTTTTTGTTAAAAAGGTAGTTCATTTAAACTTTTGAGTTATTAATTAAACAAAAACGTGAGGCCCACATCTTTAGCATTACGTATTACATTAAAAGTTAGTATTGACATAAGATTTGGGGGTACCACAAGGTTCTGTTTTTGGACCATTGAAATGTACCTACACTTTTGGTTGAAAACAATAAGGCAGACCCAATACTAGTTAGGTTTCCATAAATCAATTAAGTGTTAGAAAATGGTGGTTGTTGTACTACAGCTGTCTAGAAAATCTTAAATCCTGTTAAAATATACTTTAAATAGACTGCATATCTCCATTATATCCATCCTCTTAATAGGTCAAATACCCCTCACACGCAAGTGCTTAAACTTCGTCATATCTTCCAAAATAGCAATAAATACGAACAATAAATCTGAGTGCTTGTGCTTAAGATTCCTGAGATTTCCAGCGCCTTGCACTGGTCTCCCTCCCTTTTTTACGTCAGGGTGGGAAGCCTGTGTATTTCCTCCACTCTTTATCTGAAGGAAGTGCCAAAATAAGCCACGGCCGCCACAGCAGCAGCAACAGCAACAGCAACAGCAGCAGTGCCCAAGTCTGGACACCTTTCCCACTGGTCACTCGCTTTGGCTGAAGTCAGGGAGAGAAGAATTTTTTAGAAACTTTCAAAATGACCACGAAGACTGTACTGTTCCTGCTAGTTTCTGTTCATTTGTTGAACCCAGCAGGTAAGAGCACGCTCGAGCTGGTATGGAGTAAGTGGGTAGTTTGATTAGAATATGGTATGGTCTAATTAGAAAATATAAATATGTGGTTTTTTTAACATACTTTTTCTTACTTTTCCTGTGGAGCTTGTGATGTGCAGATTGTTTGGTTTTGGTGTTTGCAAAGATAGATATCAGGGAGAAGACTATGGGTCTAACCTCTGGGCTATCAGCGCATTTCCGTCCATCCACAGAGAGATAAGATGTCTTGTACTCTGTAACTGGTGGGAAAAAAACAAGTGTTAGAATTCCAGTACCACTATTTTACCCATTTTGATCCATTTAAAGCTGGGGTACTTTACTTTTTGCTTCATAAATGACACATGTTTGACTCGACAGAAAGAGTCTTGTTGAAGTAAAATGTTTTAAACAAATCAGACCAAAACCTGCTGTCACCCTCCTAATAGAAAACAGGTTTGACTGAAAGTAATCCTCTCTTTTTCACTTTTCGATCTGAAAAAACTGAGCCAAAGATGTGCCAGAGGCCAAATATAATACCAGCAATAGAGCCAAAACTAATTAATCTGAATAATTATTTAAGGTTTTGCTGTGTAACTTTTTAGTGCTTTGATTTTAGATAATAGAATTTTAATAGTATGAAAGTTTGCCTTCATTATTCTCGATTTGCAAATGAACCATAAAGCCCTGTTTCCACCAGCTCTACTCTACTCTACACTACTCTACTCTACTCTACTCTACCTGGTTGCGTTTCCATTACACTTTCCTGTACGCACCATTACCACAACAAACCAGTATCCATAGATATTCCTTGGTAACCATGGCTACCCGCAGTATTCTGACCAATCTGTCAGTTACTACACTTTAGGTACGAAGAAAAGGTAGCCATGATACAGGGTCAATGGAAAAACTCCCAATTGGGTTGAGCCGAGTAGAATAGGGCCAAGTAAAGCTGGTGAGGACACTTTTGAATTGTCCGACAACTTTTAACGATACGTCGACAAAATGATGTGACGTTAAGTTGTGGTTTCTAAATAGCGTTTCTAAACTAAGTGCCCATTGTGTATCATGAGGGCGTGTTCTTTTAATTGTCTATTCAAAAATGGCACCATTCAAGAGATACAACAAAAACATATATTTTAAGAATTGGTTCCAACAAAGTTTATGTGGGTCTTTTTTTTTTTTGCTTGTGAAAAGTGAAAGCAAGACAGGACTTAAAGAACATTGTAGGCGACATATTTTTGATGATTACATTTGTTATGTTGTGGTATTTAAACGCCACACATCTAACTTTAACACATGGAAAGACTGAATCCAAATTCAAAAAAAGTACCTCCTTCCTTATACTTCTACATGACGTTTTCTGAGTTGTGACAGCTCTAGGTTTGTCTGTTTCTGTCACAAAGGTCAATAAACATGACAAGGAAGTATAAGGAAGGAAGGATTTCTCTTTATGAATTTGGATGCAGCCATAGACACAATACCTTATGTAATACCTTATGGCTACCATGGCATGTTGTTCCTTCTTGTTCATTTTAAAGCAGTCTTGTAATTTAGTTTATGAGGGTTCATCTTGTCTGCTTAGTAGAATAAAGTTATTTGGTTCAGACAATTGTAAGAAATCACCTTGACATGTTTCAATGGTATACTTCCGTCTCCAAGATTTAACCTAATAACTTTGGTTCAAATGTTTGAATAAAATTACAAAACTAAACATGTGATAAGAAATCCAACAAATTAAATTAGAATCATCAGCATCTACAATTACAAGCCATCTTCATCTTTTTTTGTCCAGTGTTGGTTCAATAAAAAAAAAAACACTGAATCTCAATTTGTTTTGAAAAATCCACTGGGAAATAATATCCAAGCTCATGGATGGGATCCCTTTGTCAAATTACCTTCATAATGTAGAAAATAAATGTTAAAGGGTTTGGGTTAAAAGAGCTTTTATTTGGCTCCTAATCAGCTACTACTTTTGAAATATGGCCCCGACTAAAAAGAGTTTGACCCTTCTGTCTCAGCCTCATCCATCCATCCATTTTCTTCCACTTCATCCGTTGCCGGGTCGCGGAGGCAGCAGTCTAAGCAGAAACGCCCAGACTTCCCTATCCACAGACGTCGTCCAGCTCCTCCGGGGGGATGAGCTGCCAGTAGAGCTATAGTCTACCATGAAAAACTTGTAGACCAGCAGACCCAGATGCTACCTCTGAAATACGTTTTAAGCAGATTGCAAACTTATCTAGAAATGACAAGAGTTGCCTTTATATCTATCTTTTGTTTTTAGCTTTCACCTACAGCATCTCAAGCTTTAAAAGATGGCTCAGTGATTAGAGTTGAGTTTGCATGTTGTTCCAGTGTCAGCATAGGTTTCCTGGAGGCGCTACGGGTGTGTCCCCGGCCACTAAAACACGTCACTTTAATGGAACCTCGGATGAAAACTGTCGACAGGAGCTACTTCCAGATCTGTTTCAAATATATAAATAACCACACCATGAATATAAGTCCATGCCTTTAAAGCTGGGGTACCTAATTTCTAAACCACAAAACATGTCATTAAATTCATCTAACCAGTTCTTGTCTTAAAACAATGCATTTATTATTATGTATTTTGGCCTTTGTCAACTCTTCAGATCAGATTTTTAGACAGAAAAGTGAAAATGAGAGGCAATCAGCTCTTTCTTACATTTATGAAAAAGTTTTGCCATGCTGTGGTCTGATTTGTTCCCAACTTTTCACTTTTTACAAGACTTTCCGTTGGACAAGATGTAATGTTTATGGGTGGGAGGTTTGGATTTAGATCTGCCCCAGCTCTAAATGAGGAATGTGATGAACAAGGCCAGTGTGAATCGCTCCGTTAGCTTATATGTCAGAGCAGACAGGAAACATGAGCCGTGGTCAGACAACAACAGAGAGAGACAGGATGCAGCTTAGAGGAGTACCAGAGGAAATCCAGCTCCAAACTCACTTTGTCTCCCCTCCTCACCCACTCGGCCTGGCACCTGGAACCACCTCCTTTGTCTTTTAAGATGAGCCAAAGGGGAACGCCGCAAATAGAACTTTATGACCAAAAAAAATACTGAACAAAAAAGGCACACATCCAGCCAGGCAGGAATTTCATTGTGTTGGCCATATTTTGGAAATTATGAATAATATGTGTGAAGATATTTATTTTCAATTAAAGTGAAGGTTTTTGATTGGATTGAATCATTAATGACCAACTGGGGGCCCTCACCATTGGTCAAACTATTCTCCTCCAGCAAATCTCACTGTGGATTCTTATTCCAAGCAGAGAGGCTGTTTCTTTTTTATGTATATATATATATATATATATATATATATATATATATATATATATATATATATATATATATATATATATATATATATAGATAGATAACTTTATTTGCAGACTCAAGGTCCAGGTCAACAGACACAGACACAAAAAAAATAAAAAATACACAAAATAAAATAAACAACAGACAATGAAAATCTCTAAACTTTCAAGAGGCAGATATATTTAGAATAATTACCAAATAGGGCCATCGGATCACACACAAGATTGGGGAGAAATCTAATGTGTTCCTATAAAACGGAAGCAGGTTCAATTCAATCTACTTTTGTATAGCTCTAAATCACAACAGCAGTCGTCTCGGGGCACTTTAGAAAGTTGTCGATTCCTCAACAACAGATCAGAGAATCAAACAGTTTGAACACAGGAAATGTAGTAATAACAAACACATAGGAGCGATTGGTCCAAAGGGAACAGGGAGGACCACTGTTAAATGCCCCCAATCATCACTGTCCCTAGACCCCCTTCATCGGCAAGGAACGACTTCAAATCCTGGAGAGGAAAAAATGCGAGACCTTGGGGAGGTCCACAGTGGGGGAGGATTCCACTCCCACGGACAGACGGGTGTAGATCCAGGACTTAACGTATTTTCTATTTATAAATCACAACATCCTTGTGCCGTTCTGGAGAGATCCTAAACATGCATTTAAAGCTGGGGTACCGAACTTTCAAGCCACGCAAACTTGATTAATGTCATGAAATTCGCCGAACTCGTCCTTTGCTCTTAAAATGGTTTGGTTATGGTTTTTACATGCATGCATTTTTAGCCTCTGTCACATCTTTGGATCAGCTTTTTCAGACAGAAAAGTTTAAAAGGCCGTTTTACTAATCAGAAAGTCCGTGACTTGGGTTGTCTGAACTCAACACGTCAAGCAAATCTCACTGGTAAAGTAACATTTGGCTGCAGGACTAAAAAGGTTCTCTTTGTGATTCTCAAATAGTTCATGACAAAACAAGAAACAAAACAAGGATATCTATCGGGGCCTTCGTGAAAAAAAGGTGTTGGTTGTAGATTTGTTGTTACAAAACTCTTGCAGTTGCAGTACCACATTTAGCCAGATTATTTACATACTGTATTACTCCTTTAACGCAATGTTCATAAAAAAAAATGAGACAGAAAGATTTACCAATGGGACAAGAAAATGTACTTTTATTTCAAAATATACAAGAAATGTCTCCCTTGAAATGAGAAAATAAAGCAACATTTCCTGAAATCAGAATCAGAATCAATTTTTTTTGCCATGTGAGTAACAGGAAGTCACAGACTAGAAAAATGCTTTGGCGCTCGATGCAAACAGTCAAAGAAGAGAGGAAGAGAATAGAGTAAGGCATTGTAAAAATCCACATACATTTCTAAGATATTTAAATAAGACTAAATGGCCTTGTCCCGTTGGCAAATCGTGTTTCAGACTGTCGTTTCAATTCAGATAAAAAAAAGCTCTTGATTCAAGCAAATATTACCTCAAATTTTATTAATCTTTGCAGTGTAATTTAAATCCATCCTTTTAGATGAGTCAGATGATATCACACAAAATGTTGCTTCCTGCTCTTCAATACATCTATACTCTGAGACGTATGAAAAAGAATCTACTCTCTGCATATAGTACAGTACATACATATCCACATGGTGCAGACAGTCACACACAACAATAATAGTCAACATAATAAGGTGCACAATGAGATAATACAATATGAATAAGATTTACCTAAAGAGGCCCAGGAAAATACAGGCTCTGGAGGCGTGGGTCACTTTTCTCTAACATTTTAAATATGTATACATTTTTTTGCAGTGTCTTCTGAAACATCACTGGCCACAACAAAACCTGATAGAAGTGAGTGATTTACAAACTGAGACGAGATGTTGATATTTTGTCTTAATTCATTCATTCAGTTTTTGAGGATCAAGATGCATGGTGAATATATTTCAAACATTAGGTAATATAAACTGCATCCTGTGTAGCCATTGATATTATGGTGTCTTTAATGTTGTAATCATTATAAATAAATAAAGTTTATAATCATTGGATTTTTGACCAACATTATAAAGAGATTAGGATTTTACCATTTCAAATTGTGGAACCAAAAGACCACAATTATGAACCAAAAAACTGAAAAATTGACGTTGAATGTCATTAGTCCTTGAAGATTATATTGTTTTGTTGATTCAAACATAAAAATCTAAAATATAATAAACTTGAAATATTGTTTCAATTGACAATAATTACTATTCAGCGATATCCTAAAATCTACAAAATGTTTACATTCCTAAAAGTTGTGCACACTAGTTTACACACCCAGTGCACAGGGCTCCTCCAGAGGTAAGAGTAAAAATACTATATCTAAAAGTAAAACACAGCAAAATGTACAAAGATAAAGATAAATACTTTATTGATCCCCCATAGGAGAAATTCAGGGTAAAATATATAAATTCAAATATATAAATAATCTTAAAAATACTCATCAAAAGATAATCTAAAAAAGTGTGTCTTGAGCCTGCTTTTCAAACGGTATTTCTGGGCGGCATGTTGGCCCTCCAAGACATGGCCTTCCTGTGTGGAGTTTGCATGTTCTCCTCTGTGTAGGTTTCCTCTGGGTGCTCCGGTTTCCCCCAAAAAAACAATAACGTACAATAGGTATTTTGTCATCAGCGGGTGTGGAGGGAGTGGAAAAGTATAAATACTCCAAAACATTGTCACGCCCTTGTGTGACTTTGGTCCGTGAAATGCATTACATGACTTATTTAATGTGTTTATGTACATGACAGAACAAAATTGAATTATTTCCTTTAATTCATTTACTCATGTCTCGCTGTAGATCCAACCACATCAGCTCTGGCAACTCCTGCTGCTCCTGCTACTCCAGCCATTCAGCAGACCAGCACAACACAGGCGCCCAGTGAGTTCATGTCAAATATTAAAAAAATACTCAACAAAGCGACGTCATGACTGCTTCGACTTTTGCGTCTTTCTTTTGTAGTTAAACTCACCACCGTTCGGACCACAGAAGCACCCAAACTCACCGCTACACATGGCCCGGGTAAGAAGTGCCTCCTCTGAGAAATACATGGACGGACTCAATCACCGAGGTTCCGCAGGGTTCTTCCTTCCTGCTGCTGTCAGATTGTACAATGAGAACTGCTGCGCCAATGTGCAATTCTGCAATGTTCACTGAATGTCACTTTATCTACTTATTATCCTGCCCTATATACAGTATGTACGTAACTTTACACTATATGGTTCTATGGATGGTTATATAGATATATTGATATTGAAGGATTTACAGCTAGCTAAGAAATGTATTTATTTATTTATATATATATTTATTTATTTGATAGGGACAAGTGTACACAAACCAACATGTGAAACACTACAACGTTTGTAGCCAAGGCAAATTTGTAACGTCCGTCCCCAGGAGGGCTTTTAACAAATTTTACATTATAGTATTCACATTACACAAAAGCATGTGTTCTACAACTCATTTAAAGATCACACAACTGGTTTGTTTTTTAAAATCGCTTCAGTTCGTGTTTAAAACCAGTCAGAGTTAAAGATATGTTTTGGGAGCTCCCTGTGTGCTCTTGCTACTGTCCTGTATGTGCGCTGCAACATTGAAATTTCCCCACTTTGAGACGAATAAAGGTCTTCCTGTCTTATCTCATTCTGAAGTTTCAAAAGTGCTTGTTTTGCAGTAACTGAGAAGACGACGCCGAAAATGAGGACGACTGTTATGGCAAAAAAGGACGCAGCAGAGACGCATCAAAAAAAAGGCAAGAAAACAATGGAAAACTATGAGAAGAAGTGATGTGTATGAGTTACTAAATATAATTAGAATGGCCTCTTGTATATTTTAGTCACTCCCACTTTGGCTCCGGTTAAGCCCACAGGTAATTTACTCTCTCACTCACACAACATATAACAATTTTTTTAACTACTGTAATATTCATGAGAATGCAATATATTCCAGTGACGGGGGGACCGAGCTTGCGGGTCATAGGCTCCTAGAATGCTCTGCCTGTTGATCTCTGAACCCTGTGATTTTCTGAATTGTTCAGACTCATTCTTTACAAACTGCAAACTGTCTAATTGACTAATTCTGGCCCGTTCTGGCAGTCTCATTTTGTAGCTAACGAGTTGGAGAACACGAGCATACCCATGTGTTTGGGTGAAAAACAGAAGCAAAAGTCCGAGGACTGTAAAGAGCAGCCTCTACGCTCTTTCAGAACGTTTTTTTTATTTTAGCAAAAGATAAACGCACATTTTTGGATTATATCTCCAGAATGGATTATACTTTGGAAAACACAAGAGGATATTCTTTTTCCACTGCCATTTACGAAGGGAAAGAGCAATAAGAAGCTGGGAGGAGATCTAATTTAAATATGCAGCGAGAGCAAAGGTAAAAAACTTTTTCGGAAGTGATTTATTTTGTGCCCATATTATGTGTTTTATCTTTTGAATGCAGGGGCGGGTGGGTGTTTAGAGGTTATAAAACATATTTTACATTATAGTATTCGTATCATTTAAAAGCAGGTGTTCTCCAACTCATTAAAGATCACACAACTTGTTTGTTTTTAAAAATCAATTTTAGCTGAGGGCTTAAAGATATATTGTGTAATCTCCCTGTGTGCTCTTCCCACTGTCCTGTATGTGCGCTGCAATATTGAAATTTCCCCATTTTGGGACGAATAATGGTTCTCTTATCTTATCTCATTGAGACGTTTAAAAAGTGCTCGTTTTGTAGTAACTGAGAAGATGACACCGAAAATGAGGACGACTGTTAGTGCAAAAAAGGACGCAGCAGAGACGCATCAAACAAAAGGCAAGAAAACAATTGAAAACTATGAACTATATGTGTATGAGTTACTACGCGTTGAAAATAAAAAAAATAGTGCAAATGGAAAATAATGTATGTTTTAGGCACTCTGGCTCCGGCTCCGGCTCCAGTTAAGCCCACAGGTAATTAAACTCTCTCACTCACACAACATACTGTATAGCCATTTTTATAGGAAAACTAAAAACCTGTGCCCAGCCTAACTCTGCCCACATGAACCTTTGAAAATTCTCAAGAAAGGGGCTTAGAGTAGGGCGGGGTCTGAGGTGGGATCGACAGCTCACTTGTCAATCACAGCCCACACAAATAAAATCAGACAGTTGTCATTGCTGGCTTTAAGCAATAGTTTACAACAGAAATTCTCATTCCATCCTTGTTTACCACTAAGATATTTGTAGAGCTAGACACCTGAACCTAAGCCACAGAATTATCTCAGCAGTAGTGGCGGTCAACTACTGCTAGTGGTGTAATTACTTTTTAAACCACTAGATGTCGCCAGAATACTCCAACACGCTACAGCGGCGTGTGTGAGACTTGGATGGTTTTATACCACAGGCGCAGAGAGACACACGTCACACATACAAACTGACATCACACAGTACTCCAGAGCCAATGGCGAGGCCAGGACCAAATTCAGATCTAGTGCCACCAAAAAAGGGCACCACACAGACGGTTTTAGGCTGACAAGTGAGATTTTATCTAATTTGCACTAAAATGTCTAAATATGATTGATTGGGTGTTTAGTTGTCCTTTAGATAGATAGATAAATAGATAGATAGATACTTTATTGATTCCGGTGTCCAGATAGCAGCAAAAATAAAAAATAAAATTGATCATTCTAAAAAGCTAAAAATAGTGATAATCAGCAATAGCCCTTCAGGTCACAGCAGCAGAGATGGAGCAGGACAGGTCACAAGGTGGAGTAGCCGCTTGGTTCGGACAATTTTCTCTGCTCTAGTAGAAGGTAAATTGCTAAATGCTTCATTAGCATTTTTCAAAAAGTTAGCATTCCTCCAGTGGTTTTTCACCTGATCCGCTTGGTTTGGACCATGAATCCTCTCCCATCCGGTCTGGACCAGTGTAAAACCATGAACACTGTACTGCAGCAACATCTCAGGTAGAAAAAAGCAAGAAAATTGTAAAGCATAAAACAACATCTGTTTCAGAGCTACTTAGGACTTTCAGTCGTTTCCAGCGCATTCAGAAGTCTGATCTGATTTAACTCATATTCATGAACATGCATAATATTCCAGTGACGGGGGAACTGAGCTTTTGGGTCATAGGCTCCTAGAATTCTCTGCCTGTATAGATCTGTGAACCCTGTGATTTGTTTAATTGTTCTAATTTGTAAAAACTCTTTATATACTGCAAATTGTCCTAAATTGTATCTTACTGTAACAGGGTTCTACAGAAGCATGTGGGGTTCACTTGCATATGTGTAATTTTTTTGCTGGTATCCTGTTATTTCATGATAATTTCACGTTATTTCACATGAAAGTAATGAACTCTTAATTTATAACAAAGGCTAGTTTACTTCGTTGGTCCCTTTTTCCAAAGCTTTGCCCCTGGACAGAAAAGACAGTGGGGCACTTTCACGTTTCCACCGGAAGCGCCTCGGGAGGTGGAGCCTACAGCCCTCATTAGCACAGACAATATTACAATGTTACATTATGTTTGATTGATCACTTTCTTTTTGTTTTTACATTCTCCTAATTGAATATCTTGTCTCATGTATCCTTGTATGCACACAATAGAACCCGTCACAACCAAAGGAGCTCCAACAAAGCAGATGACAGGTAAGTTTTACAGTCCCACACCACAACCACCACAACGAGAGACTTTGGACAGTAACTGGAAACATAGAGACTGCAATATAATATTTATTTGTGTTTTTATATTTTTTGAATTGGCTAATCATAGTTATATATGTATTTATCCGTTTTATCAATTTGTCCAGCTAAGTTTTGATTTGTAATGGTTGCTGCCACAAATTTTCCTTGAATTTGCACAATGACAACACTGGGTAACAAAAAAATATTTTTGAAAATAGTCCAGGGTTTTCCAGCTGAATTAGACAAATTTTGATGCTCTGAGTCCGAAAATGACCTTGGTTTTGCTCAATCAGGTCAGGATTTTTTGCTACAGAAATATTTTTTTTAATCGATGTCGCGTAAAAAACAAATTTCTGCGGATCATCAGCTGAGAAACCCTTGACGTTTTTTTTCGTTTTCCTCAAGAAATAAAAGTCAACGTATCCAAAGTCATTCAGTTTTTATTTACTCCATCAAATTTGATAAGCAGAATTCATAATAACGTAGACGTACATAATCCGTAACACTATGGCTGTATCTCAAAGTTGACCTGATAGAGCAAAATGCATGTGATATTCAGACTCAGAACACCAAAAGAGGACTCAGAGGACTTTGCAAAACCGTTGAATTCGCCAACACAGATCAGAGAATAAAACAATTAAAACACAAGAAATGCAATGATAGAAAACACATAGAGGCATTGGTCCATAAGGGACGGATGACCACTGTCCACACATGTTCATAAATGTCCATAAATGTTGTTGTATGTTGAGTGTCAATGAATCATAAATAATCACAGTACATTAAAAAGAGTTAAGACCCAATCCTTCAGTTGTATGTACAGCTAAACCTGGATAATAATAACTATAATAATCAAGGTATATATCTACATGTAAATACTTGTATTCTGTTCTTTTGACAGTTCCAGAGTCCGGCACAGACAAGAATGTTCAGCCCAAGTCCGGTAAGAGTGTGTGATGATTTTGTATTTGGTGTTGTGATGAGCAGTAATGGTACAGTGTGTGGCTGTGGAGCAGATAGGAGGCTGTGGTGGATCGTGCTTCCCGCTCTGTTGGCTGCTGCTGCTGTCGTCATGGTCCTGCGCTTCAAATGCAAGAAGGTCGCCGATCACACAGGTAACCATCTTTAAAGCTGGGGTATCTAAATTGCAAACTACAAAAACTGTCTTTTCAACGTCCAGCTTTATGTTAACTTTCAGCTTGGTTTTTTTCACTTTAATTGTACAAAATATTGTAACTGGTAAAATTAATACGACTGTAAAAGTGTATAGGTTGTGTTATATGTTGTGGCTCCAGACAAATTATTTTGGCAAAAAAAGCCACAAAACTGCTTTAGACTAATGGCTCCTATGTGTTTGTTATTAATACATTTCCTATATTCTAATTGTTTGGAATCGACAACTTTGTTTCATCCTCAATATTTTTTTTTTATAAAGCTCCAATTCATAACAGAAGTTATCTCCTGCTGAGAATTGGAGCTTTATAAAAATAAAAAACTAACACAAATTATTTAATCCTTAGTCCCATTGGGTTTTATTGCTTTATTATTAGTATTGTCTCTCCCTTTAACTACTTTATAGCAACAGGTCCCATTTTAGTGTTATTCTTCTCCAAGTCAAGTTTACCCAATTTACGATTCCTTAAAAATCTTTCTGTTCTACAGAAACCATCGACACAGGCACCGAGAAGTAAGTAATTTGAATAGCGTCCCATTTGTTTTACGATCCTAATCTCTGTGTTGTCTCCACACACACAGCGCCTCTTTCCAGAGTCGACCGGAGAGCACCAAAGATGGAGTCATGCTGCTGGGAGTGAAGTCGTCTGGAGCCGAGGAGAACGGTGAGCTCTGCATTCAGTGACAAAACAAGTCCATCACTACCACATCATGACTTTACAATATTCTATTTAGTGTGTTGAAGTAAGACAAAGAGAAATGGGCTACAGTGGCTCAGTTGGTAGAGCATTGGCCTCAGAGACTGAAGGTCGTGGGTTCGAGCCCAAAACAAGACCTACTTCACGACTCCCACTGATGCTGCTGTCACTGTGTCCTTGGGCAAGACACTTAACCCCACTTTGCCTGAAGCCCCCGCTGAAAGATCAAGGCTCCTGTGGACTCACCACCTGCAGGAGTATCAGTGAGGGGCAGGTGCTATGTGTACTGTGTGCAGCTCTGACTGCCACCAACCCAGAAATCGATTAAGGAGAAGAAAATGGATGGATGGAATTTTGTCCCAAAACCTCTCTTTCCTTTGACACAGAGTGACATGGACTTGTGTGTCAGAACAACTTGGCATTCAACCCGTCTTGCAAGCTAATCTTTTTGCAGAGACGTGTTCAGTGTGACTAAATATAGCTGTAATTTAGACAGCGAGAAAAAAAAACGAGGTTAATCTACACTAAAGTCACTGGAGGGACTTTGCATTGACAGTGTAACGAGCCGTGGAGCTGTGTTTGGGTGGGTGAGGCTATTCCTGTCAGAGTTTGGCTGTTCCTTTAAGATGTTATTCTTTTAATAAGATATAGTTTAAAACTTTATATCTCATTTCAACTCAATAAACACGAACCTGCAGTGTATTAAGGCCAAGAAATGGATCATTCTGGAATTTCTTTGGATCATTGGTCGCACTCTCCGGCCATTTCACCTCCACGATTCATTATTCCTGGATTCTGAAGCGATACTCTGACCCCTCTCTCATTATGGGCCTCCTCAAGGTTTCTCACTTTAATCCCAATTGGTTTTCTTTAAGTCGTTCTTTGCTGATGATCCAGGACATTCTGCAACATTTATAGACATTGGTCATCTGCCCCCTATGGACCAATGGCTCCTGTGTGTTTGTTATTATTGCCTTTCCTTTGCTTGTTTGATTATCTGATCTGTTGTTGGTGAATCAACAGCTTTGTAAAGTCCTCCTAGACGACTGCTGCTCTGCAAAAAATGATCAAATCTAAGGTAATAATTGCGTTCTAACCAACCTAAAATAAGATTCGCCAATGGGACAAGCCAATTAGTCTTGAGCCAAGAACTGGGATACATTCCTTGTATCTTTATAAAACTAGATAATTTTGCTTCTCCCTTTGGCAAATTTAAAGCAGTCCAAATGTGCCCTAATCAAGATACATTTTGCCAAATGTAAGCAATTTTTGACAGATTTTTCATCACTTTTTGCAGTGTGTTGTGATTTAGGGCTAAATGAATTGAAAATGCGGACGACGACACATTCATACCGCCTGTCCGCACGCCGGGTGATGTGTCTGTAGTCCAAATACCTCACAACAATTTACAATGCAAGTAGCTGGGAACAATCCCCTTTCAATGAATCTCAAATAGAGCTACTGTGTGCGTCTTCCATCCAACTCCTGTTCTGGCGTTCCCGCTCATAGGTACACGTCTTGCCAATTCTTCCAGGAGGGAGTGCTTTTAATATCTCATTGTGCAGTGAGAGCTGATGGGTTTTGGCCAAAGGTGTTTCCTGTGATTGAGTGTGGCCTGCCCTCGAACCAGCGGGCCCAGTGGAGAGATAGGACTTCCTAACATAAACACGGATTATTGTGGTGCCTCGGTATTGTACGAACTGTAAATGTCATTTTGCTCAGTTTTGTTGGAGAATATGGGCCCGACTTGTGGTTTTTTGTTGAGTCGAAGACGTGTCGTACGTGATTTATTCTCTATGTACTTGTTCAGCTCATGATTCTCTCAACCGGGACAGCTTTCCTTCCTCTATTCGGTGACACGGCGAAGGAAATGCCGTCATGTAGGAGCAATTTTAGAGTGGAAGGCAGAGCTTATGTATGGGACGAATGTGGCAAGTATCTTAAGTATGTTAGTTTAAAGCTGGGGTTCCTTACTTTGAAGCCACAAAAAAATGAACGATGTAATACAAAAGTTCTTCAGTCTCAAAACAGTTTGCTTCTATCACTAGTTTTCACACGCATGTCATTTTGGCCTCTGTCACATCATAGATCAACTTTTTGTGTCAAAAAGAGGCACTTTCACTCAGTCCAAAACATCAAATAGTGAGTCACTGGGCTCTTTCTTACTCAAAAGATTGTGTAATATGCAATCTGTTTTATTCTCAACATTATTGAAATCCTGTTAATACGAAACTGACAGCACCATGTGGTTAGATAAACAAAATGTATTTATGACACAACAAATATAGTTTGGTACTCCAGCTTTAAGAACTACGACTAGTGTTTCCTGGTATGAGAATTTTGCTACTTCACAAGATGCTTAAGTGTAATGGAAATGGAACAAGGGTGAGTAGAGTAGAGTAGAGTAGAGTAGAGTAGAGTAGAGTAGAGTAGAGTAGAGTAGAGTAGAGTAGAGTAGAGTAGAGTAGAGTAGAGTAGAGTAGAGTAGAGTAGAGTAGAGTAGAGTAGAGTACTCTACAGGGAAACACGCTGTGATGAAAACTGAATGTTTTGTCTTTAGTCTCAGTCTTCGGAAGTCGTTCAAAGTGTACATTGTAAATCTTTCCTGTTAAAGACTTTGTTTTTATCTCTTAAAAGTTCCTCAGTTACACATGTCCAGCAATAAACAAATATCATACAATACATGTTGTTTGTGCCAACAGAAAAAGAAATGTTCAAATCAGACCACATGCTGTCTTATTACTTAAGCATGTTATCTTTTTCAGACTTGTAAGAAAGAACTTTTATTTATCACTTTTTGGGTTGAGGGCCAATTTGTCTGGTCCTCTAGTGAACTAGTAAAGTGGATTTTCATAGTTCCATTGTTGTCGTCTGAGAGTGAGGTACCCCAGCTTTAAACACACAGAAGAAAACATAACGCCTTTGAAATCTACTATAATTCTATCTTAATGTATTTAATGGATCCATTGGTGACATTAGCCTCAGTAATGTGTCTGGCCGTTTCCCCCCCCCCCCCCCCCCCCCCCTCTCTAAGTCTCCCTGTAGAGTATTAAAGCATAATTATCATCTCATATGAATCAATAGAAGTCTCACAGAAATCAGAAAATTGTCACTTTCTCCATCTTAACGTAAACTTTTCTGGCAATCCTCAAATCCTGCTTAGCTGTGGATACGACTGCAGGAATGTATCTTCACTTGTTTAATGTTCTATTGAGCGCTTTGAGTTGTCTTATAGTATGAACTGCGCTATACAATAAAACTTCCCTTGCCTTGCCTACTATCAAACTGTTGTTAAATCAGACTGAACTAACAGAAAGTATACTGTCCTCATGTTGTTTTTTGTTTTTCGCAGCTGCTGCCAGATAAAAGCCGGAGCCGGTGACCCCTCCCCGTGACGGTCCGCTCACTCGACCACCTCTTTACCTTTTTTCTATTGAAACGTAAAAGCTGAAACAACTGAGTCAGAAAGAGTCTGAAAAAAAAAAGTCTGAATAGAAATCATGGAAAGTATTTGTCATGGCCTCGCAAATGTATGTGACAGAACCAAGCTGTACAGCCTCACCTCAGAAGCACTGGATGTAATAAATCACTGTTTGTGTCACGTTTTTAAATGCTGTGTCCTTTTGTGATGAGGTGTATTTTATTCCAATAACTTCACAGGCTCTCCACAAAGCTGGAAGTAGAAATATTAAGCTGGGATACATATGGCTTTTTTCCCATAAATAACCCATCTTGTGTGTCCCAGCTGAAAGAATCAACCACATGCTGTCTACATCTAATTAGAAAACAGAGTTACTATACTACTAGTTATTTGACTGACATCCAAATCTATAGTGATAGAACCAGGGAGGAGTTACATTGATTGTATTACAGCTACTCCTTTTTGTGGTCATAATAAAATTCTATGTAATAATTACGACAAACATGGAAAACAGAAATTCCTTAATACTGTATAACCCTGGATTTATACTTAGAATAGATATGAAGTGACTAAAATGTATTCATTCAAGATCATTTGTTAGATTCTAAATCCTTTGGCGACCTACTGGTAGCTCCCGACCCACAGGTTGGAGACCCCTGTATTACTGCATTCTAAATGTTGCGGTTTGAAAATTAGGTACCCAAGATTTAAGAAAATGCCTCTGGATAATTGCTATAATACATTCTTAGATTATATAGTGAAGAAAATATGTGGGGGTCTGGGGTTGTGTCACAGACAGAAGACCTTTATTTATAGATAGATAGATAGATACAGTAGATAGATACGTAGATACTTTATTGATCTTACAAAGAGACATGTCCAAAGAGTTTCTGCGTGCATGTGATTTTATTCCATGGAGCACCACAGACACTCCTCTGAGCGTGGAAAAGTGGAAAATCACAAGCTCGTGCATAGTGTCAGAAAAACAAGCCTAGGTTTAACCAAAAGTGCTATCAAAGATCCAAAATAGTTTTAGAAGATATCATAAACTGTATGTATCACTGTTGCCAATGAATAACCGTAGACAATCAAACATCCGGCCTAAAAAATGGATATATATAGAATGATCTTACTTCCTTTTTCTCTTCTAAAATAAAATGAATGTTATTTAATTATACATTTCTACCACTTGGGGGCAGTGCAGTATCCCTCATGTAACAGTATCATTTATCAGCAGTTATGAACGTCTGTGTTGCCCTTAAGGCAATTGTTTATTCTTTAATAAATAAAGTAAATACATTTTATGTTAATTGATATGTTTAAAAAGCTAAAAACGGTTCCATTATTTGTTGTATGTAATTTGCATAAATATTTCATGATTATTTGTATTTTGGGTTAAAAATATAGCGATTTATGGGTACTTCCGGTTTTGCTGCTTGACTTCCGGTTTTGGGTATCCGGTAGTCAGATCTCCGTTGCATTCTAGGATCAGCATGGTGTCATTCTCAATCTGTCTTCATCTGCATTGAAGCACTTACAAGGCAATGCCGTAAGTTTGTTTATATGTGTATATTCATCTTTGTACTTATATTTGTGAGTTATTTAGCCATAGTTTTGAGTTTATTCGGACCTTTTGTACATTGATGTTTGCACATTTGTTTTGATGTCTATCGCTCAGTTTTATGAGAGCATTTTGTATACTTTACAGTTTTCACCATCTGGAGAGGAAATTAAAAACAACTAAACGTCCCCTGTGGTCCCGGTTCTCTTCAGTGGTTTAGCTGGGTGTTGTATCGACGACACTACAGTGAAAAGGCAGCATTTCAAGCTTCATCACAGTCAACGGACAGAAAATAACACATGGTCAAAATGGCGGCCAGCACCAGATCACACTCAAATCTATCAAGGTCTTCATCTGCAAACAGTGCGGCATGCGCTCGTGCTAGAGCAGAAATGCCCGACCAGAGAGGAGAACACTCTGGATCACTGTTACACCACCGTGCGCGGAGCTTTTCGCGCTGTTCCCAAGCCAGCCCTCGGCTTCTCAGATCACTCCATGATACATCTGGTTCCTGCTTACAGACAGAGACTAAAGCTCTCGAAACCTGCAGTGAGGAGCTCCAAAGTGTGGTCTGATGAAGCTGTGGAAGAGCTGCGCGCATGCATGGAATCTACAGACTGGGACCTTTTCAGAGCTGCCACAGACAGCTTGGATGAATATACGGACACTGTGACGTCATACATCCACTTCTGTGAGGATAGCATCATTCCAACAAGGACCAGGGTCATCTATAACAACGACAAACCCTGGTTCACTGCTAAACTCCGGCAGCTCAGGAAAGCAAAGGAGTCTGCTTTCAGGGAGGGGGACCGCAGCGGCTACAAAGCAGCTAAATATCAGTTCAGGAAAGAACTGAAAGCAGCCAAGTCCCGGCACAGAGAACGACTACAGGAGCAGTTTGGTAACAACGATACTGCTTCTGTCTGGAGGGGCCTACGGGAGATCACCAACTACAAACCCAAAGCCCCCCCCTGTGCTGATGACCACAAGCTAGCTGACGATCTGAACTTATTTTTCAGTCGCTTTGATGCTGCCCCTGACACCTCTCCCTCCCCCACCCCCCACTACTCTAACGACCCACCCATCAGCCCTGCCCCCAGCCTAACAATAGCCGCTAAAGAGATTAAACAACTCTTCCTGAGGCTGCACCCCCGCAAAGCTCCTGGCCCGGACCACGTGTCTCCGGCCACTCTGAGACACTGCGCCAGTGAGCTTACTCCTGTGTTCACGGACATTTTCAACTCCTCTCTGCAGTCCTGCCATGTCCCGGCCTGCTTCAAATCCTCCATCATTGTCCCCGTCCCGAAGAAGCCCAGGATCACAGGACTCAATGACTACAGACCTGTAGCACTTACGTCTGTCGTCATGAAGTCATTTGAACGCCTGGTTCTCTCCCATCTCAAGTCCCTCACCTCCCCCCTCCTGGACCCCCTGCAGTTCGCCTACAGAGCCAACAGATCTGTAGACGACGCCATTAACCTGGCCCTCCACCACATCCTACAGCACCTGGACTCCCCGGGGACCTACGCCAGGGTCCTGTTCGTGGACTTCAGCTCTGCCTTCAACACAATCCTGCCATCCCTGCTCCAGGACAAGCTCTCCCAGCTCAACGTGCCCGATTCCACCTGCAGGTGGATCACTGACTTCCTGACGGACAGGAAGCAGCGAGTGCGTCTGGGGAAGAATGTCTCGGACTCTCGGATTATAAATACAGGAGCCCCACAGGGCTGTGTTCTTTCTCCCCTGCTCTTCTCCCTGTACACCAACCACTGCACCTCCAGCCACGACTCCGTGAAGCTGATCAAGTTCGCGGACGACACCACCCTCATTGGACTCATCTCCAACAACGATGAGTCCGCCTACAGGAGGGAGGTGGACCGGCTGGTGTCCTGGTGCAGTGGTAACAACCTGGAGCTGAACGCCCAGAAGACAGTGGAGATGATTGTGGACTTCAGGAAGAGCACTGTCCCCCCGCCCCCACCCTCCGTGATGGACTCCCCCATCACCTCTGTGGAGTCCTTCCGTTTCCTGGGCACCACCATCACCCAGGACCTCAAGTGGGAGCCGACCATCAGCTCCCTCATCAAGAAGGCCCAGCAGAGGATGTACTTCCTGCGGCAGCTCAGGAAAGCCAAGCTGCCTGCACAGATGTTGGTGCAGTTCTACACGGCCATCATCGAGTCCATCCTCACCTCCTCCATCACGTGTGGTTCGCTGGAGCCACAGTCAGGGACAAACAGAGACTACAGCGCATTGTGCGCTCTGCAGAGGAAGTGATCGGCCGCAGCCTTCCATCGCTGCAGGACCTGTACGTCGCCCGAGCTCGAGGCCGGGCTGGTCGTATCACAGCCGACCCCTCTCACCCTGCACATGGACTATTCCAACCACTCCCCTCAGGCAGGAGGCTGCGGTCCATCAGGACTAGAACCTCCCGCCACAAGTACAGTTTCTTCCCCTCTGCTGTTGGACTCTTGAACACTTCTTAACCTGTCCCCCCGCCCTTTATAAAGTCACTTTACTGCCCATCATACGTCACTTTACTTCACTGTACTGCTGTCACCTTACATTGTGTGCACCATGTGCACTTGTATATTGTAAATAGTAACTGTAACTCTATTTTAAATTTAAATTTATTCTTTAGAAGTGTTTTTTATTCTTATTTTTACTATCTCTTTTTGACTGTTGCACTGAGCCAAAGCAATTTCCAAGTCTGTGACCTCCCGTTACTTACGTTGGCAATAAAAATGATTCTGATTCTGAGAAGCGGCGAAGGTGAGGGCATCATATGCAAATAAAGAAGCGGAATTAAAAGTGGAGAAATGTAAACTTGATGCAAAGCTAGAAGTGCTAACGCTAATAAGAGAAGCAGACGCTGCTGCAGCAGAGGCAGAAGTACTAGAGGAAGCTGAGGCAATACAAGAGGAGAGCAGAAAGTCAGTTTCTGAGAGAATAAAAAGAGAACATACAAAAGAATATGTGCAGTCTCAAATGAACTTGTGTAAGCCACATGACTCCGCACCAGTGCAAGACAGCCATAGTCAGAAAGTTCTTTCAAATGACACATTCGTCACCTGGAACCCATCTGGAGACGCTGTTTCAGACACAGTTCCACCACCCATCTCTGATAGGCCAAAGCTTAATAATGACACACCCGCTCTCATCAAAAACGCAAATAGCTCCAAAGTTGAGACTAAACCAAGAATTGAACAAACAAAACAAGCCTCTCCATCCTTTCTCCAGTCCATTCACGCCTCAGTTCAATACTCCAACAAACATGTTACATCCAGCTGAGCCATTCGCACAATACATGGCACGTCGGGACCTCATCACTTCAGGTCTTTACGAGTATGATGATAGACCCGAGAACTTTAGAGCGTCGCGCTC